GTTTGGTAGTCGACCTGCTCTTTCCACAATCCACGCAGCTCTTCCTTCGACGNACCCTAGATTACTGAGACCTACACTAGCTTCTGTGAGTCGTTGACATGTTGTCTGCCAGCGTCGGAACAGCCAGGATCCAAGGGATTCCCTTGATTTGCAGTCCAGGAAAGTTATTTGAACATCGAGAGCGAATAGTCGTTGATGAAACTACCAGAAGCCATCAACAACTCGAGCACCGTGAAAACAAATACAGAAAAATCGCCCACATACACCGGACACGCGTAACGTAGGAATCAAGGCTTTAAGCGCACTCCAGAGGCGCTCGCAGCCCTCTCCGTCGGAGAATCCAAAACCTACACACTTCCGCGGATGATACACAATTTGACATGGCCACTGATGGCCGTAAGCGTGGAACACCGAAATAGCGAATATGATACGAGGGAGTAAATCAGGGATGAGGTCCCACTTGTTGCAGCTACGATCTAGCTGGCACCCCAAGGGGGATGCGGAGCTGCAATCCCGGACCGGGGGTTATAGTTAGTTAGTCCGAGGTCTGGGCGGTGGACGAAATTGTGACCTGCAAATTAATTACCTCATTTGGTAGCTAAAGTCCTGTGTAGCGGTGCTGTGGGCGACGCCAGCGTCTCCCAGTCGCCGAAAAACTCAATCAAAGGGCTATCGAAGGCCAATGGTACAATTTTATATGACTAGGTGCTATAATGAGACTCATAACTATGCATAGGCCGACTCAGATGTACAAAACGAACAACGGCCTGAGCTAGAAGTCGTTGGTGAAGACGTTCGATGTCCGCATTGCAGTGCTTTGGTCTCACTCGGGCGTGGAGGGACCGAGAACTTCTGGCAAAGGCACTACAAAACAAAGAAGTGTGAGACAACTGCAGAGAAGAACGAGAGGAAGAGGAAGGAAGAGGCGGCTCGGCGAGTCAAGCCGGCGAAGCCAGTCAAGACGATGAAACAAGGCACACTCACCTCCTTGTTCACCGCAGCGGCCCCTAAGGTCCAGCGCGTCCTCTCGGCTGTACGAGTGCCAGCGCGCGTTCGAGCATCCCAGCCCAGCAGCAGTGCACAGGTGGTGGACGATCCTGTAGAACCTGCAGCCGACGACGACACAACATGGGCGCCTGACCCAGACAATGACGTGAACAAGGGCCGTGCCCTCGTTCGTATGCTGCACGACACGGTCGCCAAGATGCCTGCATCGATCCCTGATGGCCAACCTGGCTCTGGGGATGTGTTCGACCGCTTCTTCGTGTCAGCTGGGTCTGTCAACATTGAGACAGCGGAGGAGGCATGGGAGAAAGTGGACCCGGTGCTGAACCGCCTTGTGGGGTATGGCACTCGTCCTGAGGACTTTGCAACTCAGCTCCGTTGTGGTCCTACCGGGATGCATGGCGTTGTTGAGTGGGTGGATTCGCAGGTTCGGGCGTGGAGGATTAAGGGGTCCCTTCTCGAGGGGAAGGTGGGCATGATGATCCGGGCAGTAGAGATCTGGTGCGTCAGCCTCCAGCTTTATTATAAATCTAGTACTGACATTGAATAGCCTCGGCAGCTGCGCTGAACACGATGATGGTGCCGCTACAGTGACTCCCTCGCACGCCGAATCTACCATCGCAGACAATGAAGTTGAGTTTATCAAGAGTGTCATGCGACGAAAGGGGGCGTACCGGTGCCTGGGCTACCCCTTGCCCATTCCTGAGGGTGAAAACCCCTTCCTCATTTATCCCTTCGCCCTTCACTCCGTCCGCGCCCTTCCCTGGGAGATTGAGACGCACCGAGGGTCACTGCGCCTTCGTGCCTTCGAGTGCGAGGGCGAAACATTGAGAGAAGGCCTGCCATGTCACACGTGTGCGCGCCTTACGAGGAACGGGGTGGTTGAAGGGATCCGTGAGCGCTTCGAAAGGGGTGTGTCAGAGCATGCACCATACGTGTGGCATGGGCCCGGCCAGATGATGAACATGCTGCGAATGAAGAACAAAGTCATAGATGAGGCTCACCTGCGTCATCTCAACTCTGCAAGGAAGCTCATCAACCTTGAACGCGCCCTAGACATCAGAAAGCAGCTGATGATTGCAATCTCAAGCCAGCGCTTACCTGACATCAGTCGCATTCTGGCAACCGCACTCCGGCATGGGAGCAGTGTCTACCGGATCATCGAGCTGGTTCACCAAGCTGCTGCAGGCGTGTACCATCCCCGGGGCTACTCGGATGAAGACCTCATGCGCGGTCACCTCTTCTTGAGTTTGGCTGGTAAACGCGTGGCAGACATAGCTCACCGTACAATGGATACCCCTTCAACCTCTACCCTGCGACGAAACCGGGTTATCCCAACTCTACACGCATCTCCGGGAGTCCCCACTAGCCAGGAACTGGCCTTCAACCTCGATGCATCCCTCTCCGTCATCCAGAAGGAACTCCAGGCGATTACTGCGGGTGGTACACTCCATGCAGTCTTGATGTTTGATGAGCTGGCGGTGGAAAAGCGACTGCGTTGGGACGACCGTACCAATTGCATCCTCGGAATCGCCAGAGAATCAGTGTCGAAAGCGGGCTTGGAGTTTACGAGTATGGCTGATATTGAATTGCTCCTCGACGAGATTGAGAAGGGGGAGGTGGAGTTAGCGTCGGAGGTAAGTGGAAGAGGAGTATGCGAGTATTTGCATGCACTGTTGCGGTCACAGTCTCACGCTAAGTGGGTTTATTATAGGCAACCGTGGGCGCTCTCGGATTCTTGGGCAGTAACGACACGTCTATCTATAGCGCACGGCCATTTCTCTTGTCTGGTAGCTCAAAACGAGAACGCGCTGAAGACCATGCCGACTTAATACGCACAGCAATATCAAGTGTGAATACTAGTCCCCACTGTCAGCACATACGGATCGTGAACATAGCATCTGATGGAGAAGCACGTCGAGGGCGTGCTCTTGCCCTGCTCGCACTTCGTGTTGCACTTTCACCAACTTCTTCAATATATTCGATGTTATCCACGCTCCGCCTCATGGATCTTCTCGTCGGCTCAGACGACATTACCATTGATAAAGACTACAAACACATCTTCAAACGTCTTCGTAATGCCATACTCCGGCGGCTTGGCATCTTGGTCAATGGTGTCGTCCTTCTCTCTGGTGTTGTTCGCACCCACCTGGAGGATGCAGGTCATTCGCAGGAACATCTCAACTCCGTCTTTAATGTCTCTGACCGGCAGGATGTCACGCTCGCATACCAGCTTCTCCGTGACATATGGCAGCTCCCTCCTGATTCAAGGGACCCACTGTACAGCCAGACACGTGAGGCTCTGCGGACATTTGGCCAGATGTGCCGCCACCTCATCCTACCCTACATCTGCATTGAATTGACCCTCGCCGAGCAACTGTCCCACCTTAGTGCAGCTGCACATCTTGCCCTTGGCTTGTATACTGCTCCAGGAGCAGGCTCACGGTTTCTGCCACCGCAGCTCTTCTTTGACATCATGCTAATGGTCAAGAACGTGTACTTCACGGTCGCCAAAGCGAAGGTTGATCACCCTGACTCCCCTTTTTTTCTTGTCCTTCTCGGAACCGATCGTTTAGAGAGCCTATTCGGAATTATTCGCACCATTGTGGGCAGCGATGTCAATGTAGACATGCGGCAGCTTGCCGACCGTGTTACTGCTACCATAGTAGTTTCCACCATCTTCGCAATTCACCCTGAATGGGATCAGTCGCCTCGCCGTCTCCATCTCCCCATGCTCACGCGCGAAGAGGTGCCGATCGAGAAGGCTGACCATATCCGGCCGCGTGACTTCACGGCCGACCTCACACCTGGGAATATCACGCTTCAAACAACCTGGAAACTGGGCCGTCGTGAGGCTGAAGACGCATTTGGCTGGATCTCAGAGCGGCTTGATGCCATTGAAGCAATCCCAGGTGCAACAATTCTCGCTCCCACAGGCACACTTCTTGTTCATCTTCCTGAATACATTGCCGATGCTGAACCCGATACCGAGAATGTTGCAGGTGGTAAGTCCCGCCATCATTATATCTTTACCCACCGCTCACACACATTTTATCCAGATTTCGCAGCCGCATCTGACCTTGAGGGACTACAAGACTTTGAGGATGCAGTTGTTGATGCCGAATGGAGTATGCAGCTTGATTCTAGACCATCTTCAGCCTCGCATCAATTCACCAACCTGGTTGATGTAGACGGAAGTGGGAAGATGGTCTCGAAATCCAAAGCACTCGCCGAGCTCTTCCGCTACAAAAAGTCTCAATCATCAAGTGATCGAACACGGCGAGTCAGGGGGGAAGGGCGACATGGTAACATATCTGCTTCTACTCGCAAGCGCCCTCAGCCGGCTCCTTCCCCTGTTACCTCAGATGAACGTGATTTACTGCGTGTCGGCAACCCAATTGCCTCGCTTGTCTGCTGGGATGGTCAGCCCTTTTTAGCGCTTGGTCAGGTCAATGCCATTCGCTCCGAGTCCATTCTCTGCGATGAACTGCCTGCATACCTGCTCGGTGAAGATGGGACTCATATCTCTTTCCAGCTTGTGGGATTACAGCAGGCAACTCTTGACGACGATTCCCGTGGCATCTATGATTGGCGCTCCAGCATTCTCCTCTCTATTCAGTTCCCAGATGTGCCTGGAGCACTCGTCTCTCCTATTGACCCGGAGCTGGCTGTCCCGTCTCTGGGGAAACAGTTCTATCTTTTCGAAACCCCTGCCCTAATTGCACTCACGGCCACTTTGCGGGACAAGCTAATTCCACGGTATTCACACCGTTTGCTCAAGGTTGAGTCGTGCAGCTTCGGTTTCCCTTATAAAGAGGGCTCAGGTACCTTTTTACCATTTGATGGATGAGTTTAACTTACAGAGAGCATCGCTGTTTAATAGGTGGTTTATGTTTCCTGGCCGAGGGCGGCGATGCGCGCGAATTCTCGCCGTTGTCTTGCCCTAGCTGTGTGCCCGAAATAGTGTTTGATACCAATGGTGGCCAACAACTTTTGCTTCACGTTGGCGCCCACGTTCTCTTTGATACGCGTGTGGACCATGACTTGGAGCCATGTGGTCTTTGCTTGCGCTCCCGAACAGTTTGTCAGATTTACTTGAAGGCTAATCGTGGCCAAGACAGGAACCCTTCCGTTGACCGGGCGCGATCAACGTGCAACAATCAAGTTAAATTCTCGTACGCAGTTGCACAAAAATTCCGCCCGACAACCGCACCCTGTACAAACGTCCCTGTACACTGCCCGGCCTGCGGTCACGACAAGCCGGCAGTTTGGACTTACAACTTCGATTATCACCTCAAGAAATCTCACTCGCAGTCCGTATACCAAAAACACTCTGGCAAGTACACGATAAGCGACCGGGAATGGAAGATTATGAAGAATATGTGGGATAACCGGCGCGTCGTTGCAACAACGTTGTCGTCAAAGGGTAAAAATGTGCCTGCAGTGATCTCCGAGTCGCACAGCGCTCGCATGGTCAACAGGTGCGTCGTAATACTGATTTTTTACTAACATACATATCTTACAAATGCACGTAGCTCCATTGTTGACGATTTGGAACCCAACGCATCGAGTAGCGACGCGTCGTCTTCTGACGAGGACGGCGTGTTCAACGCGGACGGGGCCGAATCTGATGACACCGACGCCCTTCTCGCCGCTCCTTTCCTCGCCGCTCCGAGCATCATCCCCACCGAGCCACCTCCCACCGATATGCAGCCGTTAAGCCCTGCATTACTGAACGCTGGTGTTGATTCCCCTCCCGGACCTTCAAGCCTCGCCGCCATGCTTCAAGGCGCATCAGGAAAACAAATTCTCTACCTACTCCCCCGCGACGTGTATGTTGCATAGGTAAAGCAATGACCAGGTTTCTGGTCTCGGTTGGCATACATATACTCTGTAGTACCTTTGCATATTCCATAGGCATCCATCGTTGCTGAGTTTTCCTGCTAGTGTATGGATATAACACAGTGTAGACTAATGCTTTTATATCTTATAGCGTGTACGTACGCGAGCATTTGTGTCAAGGGGGAGTACTACGCGCGTACTGGTTGTCGACTGCATCCACGATGCGATTTTTTAATGCTAGTGACTATGACACGCTCCAGACGTCCGAAATGTATACTCAGCTGTGAGACTCTGCTCACCGAGTCCAGAATAGTGCAAAATATATTCTATCAAAATAAACTATGTGTCGTACAGCTTATGATAGCGGAACAGGAGGTAGTCGTGAGCGCGAAGATAGGGGTTGAGATAGAAGGTAGTGTAGGTATCAAGAGCGTCGTCCGCGTCCGGTTTGGAGCCAATGTTAGTGCCAAACTTTGGGATCAAGTGGCATGAGCGTAAGATATTGGAAATGGGAATGATAGAAATTTGACGATGCGGACGACGGCGATAGGCCTTCGAAACCGAGAATAAACCTAGCTCAGAGGACCAACGGGGGGAATTGAACCATTCGACGTATGCGAGGGGCTGTCCCTCGGGCTGAAGCCTGAAGATAAACCTCACTCGGCATACCTTGAGGCCTAACGGGCACCGAAATTCAGACAGTTTTATCTTTATGATTAAGGGGAAATTCATACCTGACAGCGAACCGGTGCGCGAAGAAACATGTTGGGATGAAGGATCTTGGATGGCTAGAACAGTGTCGAAGCGTGCAGGGGATGGTGAACGAAGTGGGTTTCGCGGTGCTTGACTGAATGTTGCACGAATAGTGTCTTGAGTGGCTTCAGAAAGACCAAGGCCACCTGAGTCGAACAGAGAAGGGAGGAGGAGCGAAAATCGCTTGAAGCCCTGCACACGTAGATGCGATAAGTCGAGGGATGTAAGGGAGGACGTGTAGCCGGAATCTACTAAGAATGAATGAAGGGTAGCGGGGAAGTCGCCAAGGCCTGACTGCAGACCCAGTTCTCGAACCAAAGCATTGGGATAGGCAGGTGTACGGGCCATCAAAATCTGGTCGGGGTTAGGGGTTGACAGCATGGGCGAGTCAACGAAGGATTCATTGTGCTCTTGCCGCTCTTGGCCCTCTTGACCTTCCTCGCCGTCCTCTCCGTCTGCCTCGCCCTCATCCTCCACTTGAGCCGACTCGTCAGGGTGTCGCTTTCTGAGCCAGTCAAGGTATGTTCGCCGACGATGTATAGCCTCCTGACGCCTCAGCCAGATGGTCATCTGCTCAAGAAAATCGCGGCGGTTTGACGCACGATAACCTGATTTGGCGTATTCAATGTGGTACCGTTCCGAAAGCTCAGTATTTGTCCAAGCTGCCGCACCACGAGATCGAATGCTGGTGAGATAATACCTTAACATGTGGAGTTTTGGAATACCGCCAAAGTCCTGACGCCGAATATCTAGCTCGTGGAATATCCCTTTGTTCTCATGCCAGCTCGACCAGGCTGAGTCAAGTCGTGTCAAGGAGTCGTCGGTGTGAGTCTCAAAGCTAGCAAGCACGATGAAGTCGAGTATTGCCTGGACCGCGCGATGGACTCTGAGATCCACAAGACCAATGAGAGCACCAAGGTAAACCTTCTCAATATTCTTGTATTCTGTGCCTGTCATCTGCGAGAGAACTGATATACCCTTAGTGAAGTGTCGGACCGATGGATGCGATGGCATTGACTCAAAGCGGCGGTCAATCTCCTCTTCACCGCCAGTTGCAGCTTTCGTTGACCACTTCCACACGTGGTCGCCGAAGACGCCTTTGTGGAGTTGATGGAGGAGATCAGGTGTGAGACACGAGAAGATATTGCAGTGAGGTAAGTCGACCCAAAATGGGTCAACAGCACAGATTCCATGTGCCTCGAGGTTCTTATCTCGAGGGTTTCCACCCGCCTTTCTTAGAAGCTTCTTCGTCTTTTCCGGATCCCTCAGAACTGTGTCAACCGGCTCCCCTCGCTCTTTTGTCCCTGCCAGGCATTTTGGACAGCGGCTTTCCTTCGTACATGCAACCAAGCATTGCTCTGGCCAGTCCGCAATATAGGCGGATAGGATAGGAAAAACGGTGCGTATTTTCCCATCGGCGCAAACCATATCTACCCCATTCCTCCCAGCCTCAACGAGAGGGTTCAGAAGTAGGCGCATGCAGTGGTGGAAAAGTTGCTGCCCACTTCGTGAGCGCTCCTCATCGGTACGAAAGATGTCGAGCTTCGTCGTCGGTATGTACCCAATTAAGACTGTTGTTTTTGATGATGGACGGCGTCTGACGCTGCCTGGGATGTTTCCAATTGAGAGATAAATGGGCCACGCGGACTTGTCACCACTGAACGATGTCAGCTGCGTCTTGTCTGATGCAAGGATGACGGGTGCAATAGTGGCCCCAGGCGGGAGCGTTTTCTGTCCATAAATGTAAGCCTTCAGTACAGCGTCATAAAATGGGTGTAGCTTACCTGCAGGTTCCACCACCAGTCCCCAGTCCACATCTCGTCGTAGACCCGACACTCGCCCTCCATGTCTTCGTAGACTTTTTCCGGTGCGTATTGCATCATTTCACGAAAAGTCGGGTTCCCTATTAGCTCCTTTACACACTCGACAGGATTTCGTTTCCACAAGATAAGCTCCTCCGTCAGGTTCTGACCACAGTCATCCACCAGTGTCCCTGTTGCCACAACACGATCCCAGCTCCAGGCTGGACCACGGGGAAGGGCATCAATCTTCTTCAAGAGATCCCGCTTATTCTTGAAGGATAGTCCTAGTCGTTCTCGGATCTAGGTAATGTAAGTGCCCGCCTCCTTCCAATTCCAAGGGCTGGTTACTCACCATCTTCATCTTCAGGAATCGGTCTGCATTCCCCTGGTTCACGGAGCTCATCAACCACTCAGCAACCTCCCATTCCTCCTCGCTTTCAAATGGCGCCCACTCCGAAAGCTGGTCCTTCTCCTGGCTAGCCTTCAGTTTCTCGAACTCTGTCGGCATCGATGCTTTTGCCTCGCCGGCTCGGTACCGCTCCGGGCAGTCATACACAAAACGACCGTGGCTGGCACCACCAGGAAGTGACTCCGAGGATGCCGGTATGTTCTGTTCATCATCATCATCGTCTTCAACTTCCTCAACGTAGGCTGATCTAGCACGTTTTGGGGGAGGACCAGGTGGTGTGTCGGAGGAGGGAGAAGAGGGGTCGGGTTCGAGAAAGGTGAAGTTGTTATTGGCTGGTGTTTCGAAAGGTGAGGGATCAATCTCTGCTGGTGATTTTGGCTCATTGCGGCTGTTCCCCCGAAGACGATTCATGAGTTGTTGACCGCATGCCGTGTTTGAAAGGTGATTTGTCAAAGTCTGTTGCTTGTTCGTGCTCAGGAGGCGTTTGCAGACAGGGCATGGTGCTTTGTGAACAATCTTGTGCTTTGGAGGACCCATGAGTGAGAGAGCGCACGTCCCACAAGCGTGGAAAAGGTGAGAGCATTGTCGGTGTCTTTCTTGCCACCGCTTAAGCACCTCAACTCCACCTCAGTTCAATCGGCTGCACGCTCCAGCTTAATCATCTTGACTCCACCCACACAGTCAAAAGTGCGCAAGCGCACGCAGAAATTTTCTGTCTACAACCGCCATGGCACGCCTGCCACAGTCGCAGCCTTCCTCTCGAACTACTCGAGAGCGAAACGAAGGCATCGACCCCAGCTCTGTTGTCGAGAGCCGCACACGTCCAAACCGGAAGGCTTCCGACAAGAAGGAGCAGCAGTGTAAGTCTTGTTCCGTCAGCTTCCCCTTGCACGCTATTCATTTTCTTGCAGACCAGGACGAGATTGATTCCCAGAATGAGAAAATTGCCAAGCTTCAGCGTATGCTCCAGTACGCCAATCGTACGCATCAGTCCGATGAGGAGCCCGAACATGGCGAGTTATCTTTCCAGTTTACTTCACTAGATTTTCCCAGTAACTCCTAGTATGCTAGATGGCAACGGGCCTGAGAGTGAGGAGGAGGAGCCGCCTTCGCATGGAGGGGCGTTTTCCTCAAATGTATGTTTCCTCTATTCATCCCGCTATGCCTTACCTAATTTACATTTCAGTTCACAACCCTTCGGCAGCGTACAGAGTCAGCCTCCACAAGCCCACCTCCCAAGAGACTCCGTCGCTATGGTGAGGGCCGTCCGGCAGATGCGGCAGGTGCAGCCACCCTCATCAACCGTCGGGAGAACACCAATCCTGCGTCTCCTCGCACTGTTCCAACCCCTGCCTCTTCACATCAACGCCCACCAGCAGATCGCGCCTGCAGCCCTGCTGGCAGCGCGACTGACATCAGCGCCGACCCTGTCCCTCCGTCATTGAAGCCAGGGGTCGACAGCAACAGCACCACCAAAGCCAAGTGCTCTGACTACAAGGCCCCTGCATGTGATGTCATCCTCCGTGGCATCCGTGACTATGAAGCCCGTGTGCTCGGAGAGAACCCCTTCCCCAGTGCCGAGGACCAATACCAGTGGGCTATTGATGCCTTTGGTCTTGCTAACCGCGAGAACCGAAAGCGCAATGCCGGCCGCCCTGTCCCAACGTATGAAGCCACTGACCGTGTGATTCATGTGGTACGTTTTTTTTGTTTAATCATTCCGTGCCCCTGCCTAACATCTACCTTAGATTAAAATCCGCCACTCTCACGCACGTGGGCATCTTCTCGATCCAACGCGCATGGCTATTGTCAGTCAGTTTGGGGTCAAGAAGTCGCCCATCAACGACCCCGAGGCAGCCAAAAATCTCCGCCATGTGGAATGGCTCCTCGCTGACCACCGTTATATGTTTTTGGTGAGTGTTTTATTTCTTCGTCACCTTTACTGCTTTTGCATTAATGTTACCAGCACCAGGACCAAGGGACCGGGATTGCCATGCATCCTATCCTCATTGACATTGTCGCAGATGGCATGTTCCGCAAGCCCTCGTCTGGTGCTCTTCTTAGTATCAAGTACTTCCGGCCCATCAGTCTGCGGACCATTGCCCTCATGTTTACTGTTGTACGTTTCTACCCCACATTTCAGATTACCATATTGGGCTAATAAAATCGGTGACATGTTTAGATTCATTTTTGTCTTAGAGAGTATCGTGACGGCGAGGGCCGTCTTTCTCAGTCTAAGAAGTTTTCGGGGGATGATAATACTAACAAGGCCGTTTATGAGGATCTGCTCGAGCGTCTCCATCAGTGGGACCAGCTCGACCCTAACATCTCGCGGATGATCCGCACGAATATTTTTGACCAGGCATAGTAAGTCAATCCTGCAAATACTGATACCATTACTAACTGTGACCCTAGCTACATAACCCAGCATGAGAAGTACGACGACGGGAGCCGGCCAGCTGGGCTTTTGGACTCAGAGAAGGAGGCTGAGCGAAAACTTATGCGTGAGTACTATAACCAGTCGTTGTCAGGGGGGGCTTCGTTGTCGGGTGGGGCTTCATTGCCGGGGGGAGCGTCATCATCGGGTGAGGCTTCCACAGTGCCGGAGGGAGCTTCGCTATCGGGGCAAGCCCCATCGCCGGGGGGGGGTTTCGTCGTCGTCGGAAGCTTAAATAGAATATGTTCTCTACAACGTTTCGCATAGATGTATCTGCATAGACCACATTTGTAGACAGCTATAGACTTGGTAATAGATTGATTCGACCGACACAGTTGCTGTGTGATTATCCATTGTTTCAGGCTATGTTATGGAGCTCTAGTTATCCAGTGTAATTTCAGTAGCAGATCCTATGACGCTTCTATGATACTTATGTACCCTTACAAGGCCAATGTAATGATTAGCTACGGAGTCTACTCTTGGCCTGTACTGTCTACAAAGACTACAGATTCAGGTGACTTTGGTACACTCTCTACCTGAATGTATGAAAAACTAAGGGTACACCCATACCTACAATCTGCACGGAGAATCCATAGGTCTCAGTTGCACCCTCCATTTTCCCTGATGCGACGTCTCTGCCAACGTTGAGAGCAGCGGCAATCGTCGTTCGGGGCGGAAGCGTAAGCTTCTCAGTAACGAGGAGCTCAAGGCCTGCCTCTGCGGCGTAGTGCTTCAAGAGTCGGATGAAGATACAATCAAATGCACGCGAGCTGGGTGCGAAACTGTACTAGTAAGTCATCTTTGTTTTCTAGTTGGCCGGATATTTACTTATTCTGTTATAGTATCATATTTCGTGTATTACAGGGCCATTGCCTCGGAAGGCGTCGAGTTGGGCATGCGAAGCGTGTCTCAAGGCAAGCGGCAAAAAGCCGCGTACTTAGTTTTCAGTAGTAGCACGGCCAGGGCTCTGTGTAATTTTGCTTACGCGTATCTCACACGTGACGTAGCCGCTCCATATACGGACATACCCCTATCTATATAGTTAGTTAGTCCGACCTCGACCAGTATTTGAGAAATATCAACCCGCGGTTTTATATTGCAGGTCTGCACCCCCCTTGTGGCACCCTATGTCGTATAGAATACCAACCACCATATCCGAGGGTAAGTTCTTGAACAGCTCGATGATCAAGGCGATCGCGTAATGTTGCTTTTCCCCGGCGGAAGTCATGTTCACTAACCAGAGAACACGATCGTGACGACATAACAAAGCCATCAGCCCTGTATCCGTGAAAAAGCGCGTGCTCGCCTTCTCTCGTTTGTCGTCGGCCGCCTTGAAGCTCTCATGACAGCTCTCCAGTGCTGATTTAGGGACTCGCATACCGGGTTCCTTTGAATCCTCCTCGGTGGTCCCGGTGTTCGTCGGCCGCCTCGTTCCCTTACTCCCTCTCTTTGCATCGACAACGTGTTCGACAGCTTTCACGTCGTCTTCCCTCAGGAAGAGAGTTTCTGTCGGATTCTCGGGGTCTCGTCCTTGGTCCTTGTGATGAGTCGCGGAGCGCTTTTGCGTGAAGCAGGCGTCAATGCA